CTCTCCTTACACGCCTGCTCATTGGGCCTACGGCAGACGAGCCGCATCGTTAGGGCCTGCCACACGCCTGGCTGTGAAAAACACATCCCAGCCTATGAAATCTGGTCTTTGTGCACTTCTGCTCCCTACTATACAGACTCCGTGGGGGAGGCCAGCGTTTCTCAAACTGGGGGTCCCAGCCCAATAGGGTGCTCTGGTAGGGGGGGTCACAATGCTATAGCAGGAGAGGTTGCCAGCCTGCTGCACTGCTTTTAGACCTGGGCAGCTGCAGCATGGCACGGGTTGGCTGAGAGCTTAGCTCTGAAGGCAGCATAGAAGGAGGGGTGCCAATACCCTAATCCCCCCAACTATAACACTGTGACCTCTCCTCACAGCCCGTTTTTAGGTCAGGACCCCTAGAGTGACAATGCCAGATTTAAGTAGCTGAAATCATGACATTTGCAACTTTAAACATCCTAGAACTGTGAAATGGATCAAAAGGGACCGTGAATTTGAAGCACCGTCTTAATGTTTTACTTCTGTTCTTCTGTGCCTGGGTTGGGGGCTGGCTTAAGAAACGATCCTTTAGGTTTTTTACGCATAATCGCTTTTAATTTTCTAACAATTTAACTTTACGCATTTACTCTTTCATTACAGGGAACCCAGGGCTTTCCAGGTGCTCCGGCCATGGGGGTAAGTTCTAGTAACTCGCCCTCGTACTAAACGCTGCGGCACACAGTGCACTATACAGACATGACTTGTGCTGCTTAACGCACCGCTGTACGGCAGGCAGTGTGAAAAGCTAAAGAGCTAGGGAAGTCGTGTCTTACTGACCTGCCTGTTCACGCTCACTGTTCAACTCCTGGGTATTCCTCAGTTGCACAGACTTGGGAAAATCAGTCTCCTGGGTGATGGAATTTCGAATACCAGTTCCAAATTAGTCTCAGATGGGCTGATTTTTGGATCAGGCCTATCGTCCTCTCCAGTGTTGGCGACGGGACAGGAGTCGGCTTTTGCCATTAAATCACAGGCCGCAAGTGCCTATGGGATAATAGAGGTGGGTGGAGCTTATTCTGATTTGGAACTTGGCTTGTGTCCCCGCCTCCTCTCCCCATAAAATTCAGTGTCACATGATCTGAATAGCCACTTGTGGCAGGGGAGGACAACTTACGTGGCTTCCTTTTCTCCTAGGTTGTTGGACCACCAGGCAAGAAGGGCGCTAGAGTGAGTTCATTCGGCAGTCCTGTGTTCAGCCTGCACGCGACCTTTGTCTTAGAAGGCTCGGGCTTAGGACCATGTTACTCCCTGAGATCCCTGGGATAGACAGAGACCCGGCCTCAAGAAATGAGGGACCTTGAGTGGAACATCAGAACGGCCAGACTGGGTCAGGCCAGTGGTGCATTTAGCCAGTGTCCTGTTGCTGAGAGTGGCCCCTGGCAGGTGCTTCAGAGGGGCTGAACAGAACAGGGAAATCATTCAGTGATCTATCTTCTGGCATCCAGTTCCAGCTTCTGGCAATTGGGGTGGAGGGACACCCAAAGCATGGAGCTGTGATCCTGACCTTCTTGGCTAATAGCCATTGAGGGACCTGTCCTCCATGAATTATTCAATTCTTTTTTGATCCCAGTTATATTTTTGGCCTTCACAACATCCCCTGGCAGTGAGTTCCACAGGTTGGCTGTGTATTGGGTGAAGAAGGACTTCCCTATGTTTGCTTCAGACTTAGTCTATTCACGTCATTGGGTGATCCTTTGTTTTGTGTGTTATGTCGAAGTTAATAACCACTTTCTTATTCTCTTTTCCCCACTCCGTTCATCATTTTACAGACCTGCAGCATGTCCCCTCTTTTGTCTCTTTTCTAAGCTGAACTGTCCCTCTCTTATTAATCACTTCTCATCTGGAAGCTGTTTTCAAAGTGTGGGTGTAGTGACACACGATCAGCAACAATGATTCTGCCCATTAATCTGTCGCTTGTGTATATACAAGCAAATGTAATCCCCTGCATAACATCTCGATATATAGTAGGTGTAAATTTGCTTCCAGCCATTCTGTTTCCAGGGTCAGCTTATGGAAAAGGCTTAGATTTTGGACGACTAATTAAGGACATTAAGAAAGTACACATCCAGTGCCCGAGACAGAATCTGGACTCTGGTTAGCATGGCAAGATGTTGACATTGCTAGAGTAAACTCAGTTTCCAAAATCCAGGGTTTCCTTGGAGGTGGAAGAGACCTCTTGCTGTGTTATCCAGGGCTTGACAACAGGATTGATTTAATTTCCTTTTTCCCCCACACCCTTATGGATGTGTCTGACCCGGAATATTCTAACACCAGTTCTTCCCTTAAGAGTTCATTGCCAGACACAGAACTACAGGACTTATGCTACATCATCCCTGCAGCAGCCCTCCTGGCTAGTTCTGCCTTTCTTGACTAAGGCCAGGTCTACACTGCAGGGGAGGGGAGGTTGGCTTAAGGTACCTATAGTAGGTGTAAATTTGCTTCCAGCCATTCTGTTTCCAGGGTCAGCTTATGGAAAAGGCTTAGATTTTGGACGACTAATTAAGGACATTAAGAAAGTACACATCCAGTGCCCGAGACAGAATCTGGACTCTGGTTAGCATGGCAAGATGTTGACATTGCTAGAGTAAACTCAGTTTCCAAAATCCAGGGTTTCCTTGGAGGTGGAAGAGACCTCTTGCTGTGTTATCCAGGGCTTGACAACAGGATTGATTTAATTTCCTTTTCCCCCACACCCTTATGGATGGGTCTGGCCCGGAATATTCTAACACCAGTTCTTCCCTTAGGAGTTCATTGCCAGACACAGAGCTACAGGACTTATGCTACATCATCCCTACAGCAGCCCTCCTGGCTAGGTCTGCCTTTCTTCACTAAGGCCAGGTCTACATTGCAGGGGGGGAGGTTGGCTTAAGTTACGCAACTCTGGTTATGTAAATAACATAGCTGGAGTCGATGTACTTTAAGCCGAGCTTGGCACTGTCTCCACAGTGGGAGGTCGATGGAAGACCACTCCTGTTGACTTCCCTTACTCCTTACAACAGTGGGGAGTACCGACGGGGGTGACCTCAGCGCTCGATTTAGCGGGTCTTTACTAGACCCACTAAATTGAACTCTGGAAGATCGATCGCCAGAGTGTTGATCCTTCGATAAGTGAAGATGTGGCCTAAGGAGCCGAATATGTCACTCTGCTCACCTTTTCAACAGAACAAGCTACTCCTTTTCTTTTCTTCAGACTGGAGCATGCCCGATGCCAATTTTTCTCCAGCTGTTTCCATTCTGTGGGACACTCCTATAAGAGATTAACTTAGGATGCTAGGAATTATTAGGAAAGGGATAGAAAATAAGACCCAGCATATCTTACTGCCCCTGTATAAAACTATGGTACGCCCACATCTTGAATATTGTGTACAGATGTGGTCTCCTCACCTCAAAAAAGATATTTTGGCCTTGAAAAGGGTTCAGAAAAGGGCAACTAAAATGATTAGGGGTTTGGAACGGGTCCCATATGAGGAGAGGTTAAAGCGACTGGGACTTTTCAGTTTAGAAAAGAGGAGACTGAGGGGGGATATGATAGAGGTCTATAAAATCATGAGTGGTGTGGAGAGGGCCGATAAAGAAAAATTATTTATTAGTTCCCATAATAGAAGAACTAGAGGACACCAAATGAAATTAATGGGGAGCAGGTTTAAAACTAATAAAAGAAAGTTCTTC